ATCTTAGTCGTTTCCCTTGATCTTCATGTTGTCTCTATAGTAACCACTTCTTTCACAAGCAAGTGTAAGTCTTGATTATCTATCATTGCCTCTCCCATCTGATGTCTTTATAATAATGATAAATTCAGTATTCTTCCCAACGTCAGAAGCTCATTTAATTAATGCTTCAGGACTACTAAAAATCTAAAAATAATAAATACATTTATACGTCAAATTATTAATAAAACCCAATACAAATTAAAAATAAGAAAAAATCGTATTCATAAAAAAATAAAAATAAAAATAAAAATAAAAACTTAAAAAACCTCATGTGTAGTGAATTCATGACAAGAGTTCACTAATATTGCAGTACTTGCGTTGTTGCAATGAGTATAAGTATAATCCATTAAGGCAAAAAAATATATATATAAAAAAATGAAACTGAAAATACATGGTAATGAGAAACTGAATAAATTAAAAAAAATCGGTTTGGGGTTACTGAAAATGTATCTTTTATTCGGAAATTGGTTACCAAACTTATTTTTTTGTAATATGATGTCGGACTATTTTATTTTGTTTGATTTCCAACCACCGAACTAAAGTCGAACACTAGTCCAAAAAAACGAAACAAAAACTTACCAAATAAATAAAAAAACTCACAATTTCACTTTTTTGATGGTTTTTCATCACCGTTTCTTCATCCATTGCTTTCTTTAATGATCAAAATACTATAATTCGTACTTTTTGAAAAGAGATGCGTAAGAGAAAATAGAAATTAAAAAAGAAAAAAGAGGAGTAAGGCTTGAAGATCAATAAGTGAAAAGAGATAACAAAATATATTTAATTTTAGTGTTTTGTCTTTAAAAGTAATTTCACACATGGATAAAATTGGGAGAAAAAAAAAAAACTCGTATGAAAGGTGTAAAGAGGTAAAGTAGTGGTGTAAGTAGAATCAACCAAATTTAAAAAGTCAACTTTTACCCCAAAATACAAAATGCTTCGCTTGGCACATGTTAGGGCATGTCCAACAGTGTATTAAATTTTTTATTAAAATTTAGTAAAAATTTAAGCAAAAAAATTATTTGATATCAAGTAATCTAATAGAAATTTTTAAAATTTTATCAAAAAATTGATCGATTGGGAGGATGTTCGGCCGGTCAACTGACTAATATAATTTTTTTCACAAATTTTTGCTTGAGGTGGTCATCTGGAGAATCAGCCAGGCTGATGTTCAGCTGGTCAACCAGCTAGTATAAATTTTTCACAAAATGTTGTCTTGAGGTGGTTATTCGGGAGACATCCGGTAGTGAAAATCCAACGGCTACGAACAGTGATTTGATGAAAGGCACATCCATTCTCAATTTGATGAAAGATTTGAAAAATCTTGAATTTGATGAAAGATTTGGTGAACCATTTGAGCAGTAAAAAGTAAGTTTTTTTTTTATCAAATTTAAATTTGATGAAACATTTGATGAACCATTAGAGATGGTCTTAGACGAGCTAAATAAGCACAAAAGGATAAAATAAATTAAAAAATTAATAAGATAAAATATCACAACCAAATTATAATTATTTATTTGTTTCTCTCATAAAATTATAAAAAATCAAAAATTATTTTCAAATGGAACTAATTTAATCAAGTTAAATTAATAAAAAAAAACTAAAACATCCAGCTAAATTAGTTCTTTCCAAAAAAAAGGCTAAGGGTGTGTTTGGTTTGATTTTGGGATATAAATTTTTTTATTTTAAAAATTGGAAGAAGAGTTTAGGAATTTTTTTAATTTCTTTGGTGGTATATTTTGAAAATAGTTTTGGAGTATGGAAGTTTGGGATGATTTTATATTTTGTTATAGTTGACTAAATATGTATGAGAGAAAAATTGATTAAGAATGAGAGAGGAGAGAGAAAAAGTGATTAATGGATGTTTAGGAAATAGAAAGTGATTTTGAAATTTTTTTTTTTCAAAATCACTAAATCAAACAAAATTTTAGAAAATTTTCTCCAAAATTTATTTCTCAAAAACAAACCAAACAAGGCCTAAAACTTTGTTTGCCATTGGCTAATATAGCCAATTTTTTTGTGTTGGGACTGTTTTAGCCTTGTTTGGTTTGAATTTTTTAATTTTTTTAATTTTTATGAGAGAAAAAGTATAATGATTATGAATTAGAGACGATATTTCATCTTATTAACTTATTTATCTTTTTTTATTATTTTGTGTTTTTTTAACCCAAAAATAATAGCCAAACCAGGGCTAAATAACCGAGTTGACCCAACACGGAGCCTAAGGAAAAATGATCCGGTAAATTACAAACAAAAATTATAGGTACATAGATTTGTTTAAATAGGAATTGTTGTTTATAGTTTTAGAAATTATATTTTGTACTTTGAAATTCCTAAATTTATAATAAATAACTTATTTTATTAAATTATAAAATTAATTAATAATTTTTAATGATATCATAAATTTATTTTAATTAATTAATTAGATAATTTTATTACTGTATAGGAGAGTAGTTAGTAATTTTATTTTTTCAATTAATTATGTAACATAAAAAAAATTGATAAGGGATATTTATAATTTTTCAAATCGCATGAAGCAAATCTGTATTTTAAGTAAACCTTAGGAGTGTATTTGTAATTTATCCAAAAGTTGTAATTTATTCAAAATTATAAGATTTGTCTGTTATAATAAATAAAATTCATTTTTTGGTCAATTTAAAATTTATTTATCTATTTTAATTGACTAAAATTACTTAAAAAATAATATTTAATCATCAAACCTAATGAAAAAACCATTTAAGATAATTTTTGTATATTTTCCATACACCTACATTTTGTATTTAATGATTAAATTGTTTTTATATGTTAATTTTATTTAATGAAAATAAGCGATCAGTTTAAATTGAAAATAAATCAAATAGTAAGATTTTAAATTGATAAAACAAAAATTTTATATTTTATTTTATTATAAGACTCAAAGTCTTGAGGTTGTTTTTATTATTATTTTTAAATGATTTATAAATAATGTATTACACTCTTGCACTCATGTTTCATGATTTTTTTTTTAATTTTATTTTAGTCCTAAAAAGAATTTTTCTTATTTTTGGAGCAATTACTCCAATTTTATTTATTTTTTAATTCATATGAATAATAATAGTTTGAAATACTATAATACTCATATTTATCAATTTATCTGTCCACTTATCTATTAACGTGTCCTATCTATATATCTATTTGCTTGTTGATCGCCACTCGCTGATGACTTTTTTAGTATTGACCAATTTTTTGACAACCGGAGGCGGTGGACAACAATTATAGTGTGCCACAATTGAAAACAAAGAATGTGAGGAAGAGATAACAATGAAAACATAAAAAGAACAATGCGTAACAATAAACTAAAAGTATTATTTTAAAAATTAATTTCTTATTTTTTATCAATATATTTATAATTGTGTTCTTATAATCGAAACAAATCAATTAACTCAAAACTATAATTAGTAGCCGTTTGGATTTAACTTTTTTTTTTATATATATTTTTGATTTTTTAGTTAATGCATTTAAGAACTTGCTAAAACAAAAAAATTTATAAGATAAAAAAAAATTGATGTGACATTTAATTTATAAAATTCACAATTCTTTTTCCAAAAAATGACTTTTTTTTTTAATGTTGTCATACATAGGCCTAAGCAAATTTTTTTTTTTTTAAAAAAACACAACCTTGTCCGATCTTGACTAAACTACACTATTTGGATTGATTTTCTTAATGCATGATTTGATATTGATTTTTAAAATAAGTAAATCGTAGTTGACGATTCGGTCTATGATTTTATAATTATAATTTTGGTTTGAAACTGAATCAAACCATTTATACATATAATTTGTTATTTATATATTCGTAACTTGTTAAAATGACAATTTATTACTTAGTATATGAGAAAATTGTAACTATATTATGAATAATGATAAAATTTTAGAAATCATAATTCTAAATTAAATCAAATTTCATCTTCATAGTTTAATTTAATTTAACTTAAAATTTTTCTAATTCAATTTAATTTCAAACAATTTATGAAACGGTATGTAAGTAGGGGTGATAAACGGAACAAACTACTCGGAATCAACTCGTGTTCGACTTATTAAAAGTTCGTTTGAACTCGGCTCATTAAATAAACAAATCAAATTTACATATATTTTAGAACTTGTTAAAGTATTTAAATCAAATTTAAATAGTCAATTGCTTGTTTCAACTCAATTTCATGAATTTAAAATTATATAAAATATCAAACTATTCAATTCAATTCAATAAAAATTCGTTTAAAATCGACTTAAAAATTTAACCAATAAAACTTGAACAAATTTTAAAATTTATTAAACTTATCAAATCAAACTTATTCGGCTCGTTCGATTCGCTTAACGGACCTGGGCTCATATCATGAAAGATCAAAACAGCCCGCCGAAATTCTCAATTTTTTTAAAAAAATTCAAAGCCCAATAGACCCCACACAAGTGCGCAGGTGGCGCATTATAACTCGGACCAGCACATATCCACGTCCATCCCACCACCAAATCACATATCACGCAAAAAAAACCGTCTCCTCCAAGTTAAAAAAAACAAAAATAACGATGAATATATTTAATAATTTTTTTATTAAAATATATAATTAATAAATGAGATCTAAATATATTACCATATATTATGATAATGTTATTTTAAAATTATAAATCTCATTTATTATATAAATTATAAATATTTAAATTTTTTAAAATTATACCATATTATCTATTAATATACTAATTAAAATATACTCATAATGCATATAATTTTATTTAAAAAATAAATATTTATCAACAATGATTCATCCCACTAATTTAAAAGTACTAATAGACTATTAATGAGATGAAAATTTAAAATAAAAAAAAAATAAAAAAAAAACATCCCTACCACACTATTTTAAAAGCTATTAGTACTCTTTAAGTAGTCTCACACATTTTTTAATATTTATTACTTTTCTTAAAAAAAAGGAAAAACACCATTCTTCACTTGCTTCGTCTTCTTCTACTACTTCCTCTGTGCATCCATATACATCTGTCTGTATCTATCATCTCTACGATCATCGTTCTCTGGAGCCATCATCATCGGCCTAGGGTTTCTGTATCGGCCGATAGACTCGTTGGAGTTCCGGTAATGGATAGCGTCATTGGACTCGTCAATAGCATCCAGAGGGCCTGTACTGTCCTCGGCGACTACGGCTCCGGCGATGCCTTGCCTACTCTCTGGGACTCTCTCCCCACCATTGTCGTTGTCGGCGGTCAGGTAATCTCTCTCTAAATCTATCTATACACGTATATCAATTTCGTGTTTGTATATATATATATGCGTTATCTTTTTAAAGTTTTTCTATGTTCCGTGTATCTTTGTTAGGATCGATTGTGACTTTTGTTATACTTGTATATTTATCGCACCACCTCTCTATGCATCGAAATGTACTCACATTTCTTATGAAGGTGATATATATATATACGTGCATGTATCTATAGATATGAATGTATATGTGGACGCATTTCTGTGTTTCTTCTTGACTTTTGTGTGTTTTCGCTGAGTTTGATTTGTGAATTGTGTTTTTTTTATTGGTTTTGCAGAGTTCTGGGAAGTCTTCAGTATTGGAGAGTATTGTTGGCAGGGATTTTTTGCCAAGGGGATCAGGTAACGAATTCTTACTGCTATTTTATTATTGGATTTTTTTTTTTTGATGGTTTTGATTTTGATTTTGATTTTGATTAAAAGTTTGTTTGGTTGCTGACAAAATTAAAAAATGAAAATCAAAGCCAAGTTTGGTTTGTTTTGGTTGTGGAGTCTGGACATTTTGTATTTGAAATCGTTTTGATTCTGTTGTTAAATGAATGGATTCCTTTTAACTTCTTCTTTTTTTTTTTTTTTTTTTTTTTTTTTTTTTGATTTTAACCTTGTTTGGTTTTGATGATTAATTGATTTTTTGAAAATTAAGTTTTTTTGTTTGTTTGTTTTTTTAGTAATTTTTTAAATAAATATTTTAAGCAAATTATTTACTTTTTTAGATGCATCCAACTTAAATGCACCTTAAAAGTAAAATATTTATAAAAACATATATTAAAAAATCAATAAATACACAAGAATACCAAATGTATTAAAATTTTATATTTTTTGTATTTGGTGAAATTTTTTTTGTTCTACAAATATTATACTTTTTAAGTGTATCTAAAATATAAAAAAATTGAGTGAAATATTAAAAAAATTCACAAAAAAAAAAAAAAAAAAAAAAAAACACAGAAAAAAACTATCTATAGAAAATTAGAGAAAACCAAACTCATCATTGGTTGCTGACCGAAGTTAGAAAATGAAATTTCACGCAAATCTTATGTTTCTTTGGTTGTGGACATTTTTGTTATTCAAGTTGTTCGGTTTTGTGGTTAAGCAAATTTCATCATAGTTTAGGATCTAAAAGCATAAAAACGCTTTTTGACTACAGTGATATTTGCTTACATGTGGTAGTAGTAACATCTTTCTTAACCAGAGAAAATGACAGAAGAATAATTGTGTTTTGGTTTTTTAATTTCTTTTGTTTCTTGGTGATCAATTAGATTGAAAGTTTTTTTACAGTTATCTAGTTTGGATTACCTTATTATTATTGTTCTAATTTGTTTCATAAGAATAACAAAAAAATGAATGGTGAAATTCATTTTTTTTTTTTTCATACAATTTTTGGTTGTCAAATGTAGCTTTATTTTCTTGTGAGTTGTGTGTAATTGTAGGGATTGTGACTAGAAGACCTTTGGTGTTGCAATTATACAAGACGGAGCAAGGACAAGAGGAGTATGTCCAATTTCTTCACCAGGGAACCAAAAAATTCACAGACTTCTGTATGTCATTTCTGATGCGTATGTTGTGATTTGGTTTCAATGTTCGAAGTTTTAGGTGCATGAGTAATTCAAAGGAGAAATACATTTTTTTGATAGGATTATTAGTTGAAATAGAAATATTTAAAAAAAAAAAAAAAAAAACTAAATTTCTCTAAATTTTTTAAGCAGCTTTGGTACGTAAAGAAATTCAGGAAGAAACAGACAGGGTAATTGGAAGAACGAAACAAATATCTCCACTTCCTATTAATCTCAGTATCTACTCCCCCAATGGTGAGTCATGATTTTTTTTTACTACTAAAAAAATTATTAAACAAGTGGTGTGCCATTGTTTCATCTAGCTAAGTTAGTGATTGTAGTGGGTTTCGCAATAAAATTCCCATGACAAGAGATTTCCAAATAGTGATTAGGTGATAAGTATTAAGTAATATTACGGGTTCATGACATGTTTATTCTGCTTCTCTCTTTGTTTCTTAACCCTTAGTTTTCTCTAATGAATTTCCACGGATTTTTTTGTTGGCAGTCGTTAATTTAACGTTGATAGATTTACCTGGTCTAACGAAGGTTGCTGTAGGTATAATTTCCTTCATTCATTGTTTATTTTGCACCTGCCCATGTTATATGTTT